AGACGCTGCACTGCTGTGTGGACCCCACTGCAGTGAGGTACAGATGCTGCACTGCTGTGTGGACTCACTGCAGTGAGGTACAGATGCTGCACTGCCTGCCATGCCTCCAGGCCCTGCCTGACTCTCCAGGTGCGTTTGGTGTGGGGCCTCAGCCCTCCATCGCTGGTCATTGTTCTGAGAGTCGGCCTTGGCACGGCCCGCAGGCCCTCTGGGGCAGGCACAAGTCAGAGACGTTGTATGTGAGATGACAAGCGGTTAGTGAGTCTTCGGTCTGAGCAGAAGTCAGAACCAGTTCAGGCTCTGCAGCTGCTGTTTGTAGAAACCTCACCTGAGCATTATCTCACCTGTTCCCACAGCTCACCTGGACGCAGGTGCGATCAAACACGAGCTCGTGGAGGTCAGCCGATCATCCGGGCACCTGTGCTTGGGGTACGGGGACCGGACGGGAGCCCATCTCCTCCCACCCTCCAGGAAAGCCAGCCAGCGTCCAGACGCTGTGGCAGCCTGCGGGTTCCGGAAAGCACTGAGGTGCCACACACAAGTGAGCTTCTATGCAGCTTTCCTTCCAGGGGAAGCCAAGGACAGAAGTCGTTCTGCTAACCGGGAGATGGCTCAAGTGGAATATTTTAATTGGGAAATTGTCTTTATTCAGGTTAGTAACCTGTAAATATTTCCAATCTAAATACAGGTAGTTGACAGAATATTATTCTTTGTAGAATTAAGTAATTCACTTTGCTAACATTAATTGATAGCTATCTTGGAATTTATTCACATTTTTAGGAGGAAAAATCTGCATTTTTCTAATTTGGGGAGGAGAAGGGAAATAACAAAATGCTGAAATAAGGTACAGGTTGACCCATTGTAACAACGAGATGTAGAAGATGCTATGTTGAAAATGAACTTTTCACATTAGGGGGGCAGAGGGAGGGGTTGGGGAGGTGGGGGAGAAGGGATGGCAGGGGAAAAACAAAGGAGGAGGCAACAATGCTTGATAGGAAGTGGACTCATTACCTTGCTCACGTAACTGTGACCCCTCTGTACAGTATCTTTACAGTAAAAAGTATATATTTAAAAAGCCTCCTAAAAAGTAAGAAACAAGGTTGTGTCTCCAGTTACAGGTGTGACACAGTCATTTCACCTGGCTGTGAATCACTTTCAGGGTCTGCTGGTGCAAAACGTGGCGTTTTAACAACAGAACCAAGACAAATGATTGAGCTGACAGAAGAGGGAATGCACAGGGAAAAGTAAACCTGGTTTAGAAAGACCCAGTGCAGCTCCACACCCTGGCCTCGAGCGAGGGTGCCAAGAGCAGACTTGACCCGGAAGGAGAGAAAGACACTCCTTTAGTGGTAGATCTGGCAACATGGGGATCGATGTGTGTGAGAACAGATTCATAGCAAACAGTTTTGAACATTCTAAGTTTACTTTAATGACATTCTTCAGATCTTGTGATCTGAGTTTTGAGGACCTCAGTTATCAAAAGAAAAGTGTCCTGGCTGCACTTGATTATAGAAGTCAAAGCCGAGGCCACCCACAGAGCGTGAGCGAGTCCCTCGGAGCATTTCACCTCCTGCTCCCCTCCTCCCTCATCCTCCCTGCCTGCTGTCAGTTTTGAGTTCATCTCTGGTCACATGATTCCCATCACCTGACACATTAATAACCAAAGGGTCACTAGTACCACCGTGTCCTAAGTTCATCCTTTACAGTCACTTCTGTGCATCCATGAGTCCCTCCACCCATCACTGTGGGAGGAAACTGCTTTTCTGATCAGCACATATCAGCTGTACAGGGGTGAAACCTGCCGTGACATTGCCTCATGTGCACACCCTGAGCCGCCAGCCCCCACCAGCCCCCTGTCAGCCCCCGTCAGCCCTGTGCACACCCTGAGCCGCCAGCCCCTCGTCAGCCCCGTGCACATCCTGAGCCGCCAGCCCCCGCCAGCCCCGTGCACACCCTGAGCCGCCAGCCCCATGCACACCCTGAGCCGCCAGCCCCGTGCACACCCTGAGCCGCCAGCCC